TATACCTAATATACGTAATATAGCTGTAATTGAATCAGTGTTCTAAAATCTTTGTGGGCACACGCGCTTTAAAATGTGCTCAATTTCGAGTGGTTTTTACAAATACCCTGTTTCAAGATACAACCGTAGTGTTCACGTCACACTTACAGGGTATGAGAGAGGTTTTGAAGAAACGGACTGATTGAGTGGTCAACAGGGGAGCGTATTGATGCGCAGTACGGATGCGACCATATTGTGAAGCGCTGCGGGCAGCAAAAGCCAGCCTCAAGGTGGACGCCATGTTCATATACAAGTGCTCTTTACTAAGGTGTCCTTGTTTCTACTAGGTTCTACCTTTATCTCTAAATTATATGGTGGTGTATTTTGATATTTATACTGTAATTACAATACACTATACAGCGAATACATTGGTTGTACACTACAACATCATCATGTGAGTGGGTGACTCTCCTGTCCTACCTTGTCCAGACTCCTGACTCCCCACTCCCCAGTCCCCACTCCCCAGTGACCAGTGACCGGTCTCTGTCAGATGGAGTCACTGAGTGAGGGATGGCGATGAGCTTGCGAATGGGACAGCCATCCTATTTGGGATTTTGAAAATGTTTCGCAGGCCTAATTATTGGTCCTCGCAATTCTATTTTGATTATCAATCCCCCGCCAAAAGAATAAACAATCGTATTAGTTTCCCACTAAAGGGACAATTAGTTCAAGAACAATCTGGTGGAGGGTCGGACAAATCGTGGTTCAGCCGCGCAGCACTATGTAAATATGCACAAAATTAAATTAAATTAAATACACACACAAACAGAGGCGACAACGCGACACGCTCAGCAAGTACTAGCACAGGTGTACTGGTATCGCAACGACAGTCATGGACACGACGGATGTAATGATGGGCATAGGCCCCCTGCCATACGTAGACTCAGAATATGAGAGTGAGGATATGCGGGCCATGGTGGATGCCATGATTGAGGACGAGGCCAGCAAGTTCCCCATCACAGCCAAGAACTATCTCTCATATTTAGGACAGGAATATACCCCCAAATTCACGAGCGAGTTACTGAAGAACGAGTATGCACGAGTAAGCACAGGAAAGCCAATGGCTCCCTTTGATGTGAAACGGTATAAAGTGGCGGAACCCACTGTTGGTGCCACCAAGGAGGACGCGTGGAGGGCCGCCACCGACCACGTGGCCACACAGCTGGAAATGCAGCACGACCGCATCATCAATTTAGAGCTTCTGATCAAATACGGTAAGACAGCGTGGCTAGAGCACACGAAAGAGCTGGAGCTGGTTAAGGACACGGCTCAGACGCAGCTGGAGAAGATTACCGATGACTTGGAGGAGCTTAATGGCACCCGCGCAGCCGAGCAGCAGGACGCCGGCATGCGACTGCTCGACCTTCAGGCGCAGCTAACCACATTCTTGGACCAGAAATTGGAGGTGCAGAAGGCCTGCTATACGTTGGAGAGAGAGCTACAATACCTCGAGCAGAAGACTCAGAACACGGGCGGTGCGGCGGAATAGACTAACAACCACCACACCACACATAGCAAACCCCCCGAGACAAATCGGGCGAAACTTACCACGTGGGCACTTTGAAGCATTTTTCACAAACATTCAATGAGCACTTTTAGGCATTCAACGCTTTCACCAATATTGCGAAACAGGCCTTAAGGGAAGGGTCTAAGTACAACAATGTAATGACTGGCATCGGAATGATTATGGCATAAGCGCCGCACATCTTGCCGAGAGTTAGAGTGTCGCCGCCTTTCGACATGCAGAAGCGGTTATATCATCCACACAGTTGAAAGCTGTTATATCATACACACAGTCGGAAGCTGTTATATCATCCACACAGTTGAAAGCTGTTATATCATCTACACAGTCGGAAGCTGTTATATCATCCACACAGTGTAACCACAAAGACACTTGAAACGCTAAAACCATGAGTCAACGGTACGGTGTTATGGTTGATCATTTTACTTCTGCGTGGATTCCTTGGGTTTGTCTATACTAACTAAGTATGACCCCAGGCCGGCCCAGGGGCTCTGGCCATTCGAGATCGCATTGCCCAGGGACTTCCTAGTTTATATCCGCACTGCGTAGTGGGTATGAGCAAGGCTCTCTCACTTTGCGTGATGACATCGTGTTGTGAACCAGATACGAATCAAGGACTGGCAGCTAAAAAAGTAAGCTCGGCGGATGTAGCAGATGACCTGGTTGTCTACGGATGTGGTGAGGGCGCCAGAGTACAGACTGTACGGCACACAGCACAGATAGTCAAACTTGAGCTATCGCAAAAGCACAGTCTCAGACTTCTGCGTAAGTGGAGGGCAGCAATTTTCTCACGGTCTACAGGGTTAACAACGTGCTCGCGTCACATTCTGTAACCATGGACATATACATAAACCAATCGGTGTGTAGAATGATTGTCAAAGTGGGTTGTTGTTTAGAATATAATACATACGCTCATGTGTCTGTGTTAAAGGCACTGCATTGCAGAAAAGTCTGACAATGGCTTGCAACAAGCTATCGGATGCATACTGCATGCTTGCGAAGAAGCGTGCCCCCAGGCGAGGTGTACCTGCACGTGTCAATTATGGTTGGTTGTGTACTTCCTGACAACACTGTAAATACCTACCCGGGTATGACTACAGTTGTCTTGCTCGCAGTTTTCCAATGCATGCCTATAATCGCAATAGGTACTATACTGTGGGCGTGTTTCTAATTAAATATAAATAGGAATTTTATATCTAATATAGTGAGCATGCATTTTATATTATTTGTACTTCAAAATATAGCGGCAAATATGTGATATGTTATTTCACGTTTCTGTCGACAGCGATTCTTCCTAACACTTCAGTAGTCTGTCTTGCTACGTCATCACGACTGCATTCAGTTAATATTCGGGTACTTTGCATTCGATATGGAATATCGCTATGTGTATAACTTGAAGACGGGTGGCAGAGGTAACGTTACTGATTGTTATTGCACTTTGGAATTCCAAATTATTCGCTAATAAGGGCAGAAATAGACTTAGGAAAATATTACATTTGCAACCGCGAATGGCCTTAAATGAACTACCTGCTACGAAGATCCTACGGATAAATTAATATATATTTATATATATGCACGTGTATGTTTGTAAATATGTTTCAATATTAAATAACTATATACGTACATATAATATTTATATATACATAATATGATCATACACACACTCATAATATTTATATATATATATATATAATACGTGAACACATATATAGATATATATATAATACACATATATATATAATATACAAGCATATATATATATTAGTGTATATGTATATATATTGTTAAATTGTTATTTATTATACTATTATATTTTTTATAGTGTATATGTATATATATATAAATCACGCGTATATATATATATATACGAAGCTTCTCAAAATAAATATCTTTTGGAGGATATATGTATATATATAAAGGATGTAGAAAATATATATGATTATATTGAGCACACGAATAGGTTCAACTGAACTACTATACATGTATATATAAATACATATATATATATATAAGTATGCATGTATGTATGTATGTATTCACCTTAATGAAGTTCAATCATATTCATTTGCATTTTATCCCAAGTCTTGTTTACAAATAATAGCTAGTGAGAATATCTCGGCTAGTTTAGTATTAAAGACAAAGTTATATAGTAACGGAGTCTTACTAGTACTAAAAAAATTATAACTCGCCTTGAAGTCTGCTTGGCTTATTCAGTATTAAGGGCGAAGTTATATATCAACGAAATCTTCGTACTACCAGTCGTACTCTTTTATTGGGTTGTATACCAAATATTCTCCCCACCTAAATAAACAAAGCTGGTGTTTATTGCAACATTTAACTTTTATTTTTATTGTTTCCAATAAACCATAAAATGTTCTATAATAGAGACATATACTTTCACTATTTACATATAAAATACCTAACCTGTAAACCGTTTTGATGAAAACACAATAACAATGGCCGCACGCACGTTCATTGATCATTTCTCCGAAAACGTAATTTCCTTTAATTCACTTTCATAGCAGGCTCAGTCTCAACGTTGATCCAAAAGCTTCAATACAATTCAGTTTGATTCATAATTCTGAAAATGAACAAGCCGATCATTCTTTTCCAAATCTATTTTGGTTTCAAAGATTTGTATGTGTTTAGTACACTTTCAGTATAATAGCCAGTATGTGCACGCAGAAGCTATTGTAAGTGATTGTGGTGTCGTGTAGCGTCGCTGTGTGCGGCAATAGGAACAATACTGTGCATAGCGGAAATAAGTATCTTTTGTTCGTATCCCTGGACCGAAGTAGTACCCAGCAACACTAGCTAACAAGGCAACTGAGAGAGCAAAAAGTAAGGTTGAGGCTTACAATCAGATGCTTGACAAATTAATTGAGGCTTATTTTCGTTTGTCTGAGACAGAAGATGGGTTGTCTACTTTTTAAGTGATACATTTATTTCTATAAACACTGCCAATCGAGTGGTTTTGAATATAAGAATCGATATCAAAATATTCCGCAAAATGCCATAAACTAGACATCAGTGCCCATACCGTGATCATTAAAATGCGTTCAATGCCAAATTCGGGATACCAAGTACCTATTTTATAACAAACCTTGACATAAAATACTGAAAACAAAAATAAATGTCCATTTATCCACAACTCTGATATCCAACGTTTCTGCTTAATGCTAAGAAAGGGACATACAAAGTGTCAAACGTTCCCAAACCTTGATATTCAATTTTTCGCACAATGCTGAAAAGAGAATATAGATGTTCACATTGCAATCA